TTTTTTTTTTTTTTTTTTTTTTTTTTTTGCATAAGGCACTTGAGTTCCCTGTGTATTCTGGTTATCAGTCCCTTGTCTGAGGTGTATTTTACAACAATATTCTTCCATTCAGAGAGTTGTCGATTCATACTTGTTACTGTGTCCTTTGCTGTGCAGAAACTTCTTAGTCTAATATATTCCCACTTGTCTATTTTAGGGATTATTGCCTGTGCTTTGGGAGTCTTATTTAAGAAGTCTTTGCCCACTCCAATATCTCCCAGAGTTTCCCTAGCATTTTCCACTAGTAGTTTTATAGTTTGAGATCTTAGGTTCAGATCTTTGATCCATTTTGAGTTGACTTTTGTTAATGGTAAAAAATGGGGGTCCAGTTCCATCTTTCTGCAGGTGGATACCCAGTTTTTCCAGCACCATTTACTAAAGAGGTTTTCCTTTTCCCACTGTATTGACTGGTATCCTTTGTCAAAAATCAGTTGGCTGTAAGCTTTGGGGGTTATTCCTGGGGTCTCTATTCTATTCCATTGGTCCACCTGTCTGTTTTTTGTGCCAATACCATGCTGTTTTAATGATCACAGCTTTATAGTATATTTTGGGATCAGGGATATGCCTCTCAGTCCACTCTTGCACAGGATTGCTTTGGCAATATGAGGTCTTTCATGATTCCAGATAAATTCTATGATTGTCTTTTCTAGATCTGTGAAGAATATCTCTGGTATTTTGATTGGAATCGCATTAAACATGTAGGTTAATTTGCTAGCCTCCACATTCTATGAATTTGTAATTTCCAGTTTATTTGACTTCATTCATAGACCTGATCTACAATATAATCCCACATTTATTCTTTCAAATTCCTTATTATTATTATTATTATGTTTTGGAGAGGTTTTTACTATAGGGTGCATGCGCTCGCCAGACAGACAGAGAGAGACAGAGAGACAGAAAGAGAGAAATCACTCTCCGGGGGGGGATGGCCACACCACAGTCCCTTCTCCATTCTCCTCTTGGGATCTTGGGCCACGCGCACACACGCCTGGCATGAGTTTAAGCCACTGGATCCGGGACTCGAACCGTGGTCGACTACATGGGAATCCAGCGACATAGCCATTACGCTAACTGCTGGTCCCACAAATTCCTTATTTTAAGGCTTTCTCATCTCAAGACATCTCGGACAAACTAACAATAAATTTTCAGTTATAAGTATGGAACTGAGAAAAGAATGGGACACAATTTTTTTAAAAAAATTATTATTTTAATTTTATTTATCATTATTAATTTTTAATTTGTTACAGAATACATATGCTCACCAGAGGGGGAGAGAGAGAGAGCGAGAGAGCAAGCTGCCACGTCTAGGCCTCAAATCACAATTGACCAATGTGGGAGTCCAGTGCCTTAACCATCACTCCACCTGCCGGCCCCCCACAATTTTGTTTTGTTGCAGTTGACTTAGATTGGCATTTCTATGTTCTCTCATCTAGAGAAGAGAAACCTTGAGAAGAGCAGAGGACCAAAGATTTCTCTAGCCTGGTAGGAAAATAAGGGCTAATGGCTTGTAGGTTGCCAAAACACTGTCATGGTCCAAGGAAAAACTTGAAAACAACATTGTGTTCTTGATTAGATGGTGATATTAAGGCGAGGAGGTAATAATCTGCACATTAGTCATCTAACATGCAAAACAAGCTCCAAAGAGCTAACAGAAAATGTCAACATTGAGCGATCTGAGTATTTTGTTAAAGGTATCTAAATGGTCTGTCAATAGAAGGTATGGATCATGTAATATGGCTTCCTATATATCTCTGTCAGCTTTCGGTTTTAGCTGTGTAGGTAATAAAGCAATACATTCTTGTTACAGAAAATTCAAATGCAGACATGAATAGATGTGGAAGGCAAATTTCTTCACCACCTCACCTCTCTGCCCCATCACATCCCCCTAATCCTCTTTGGAAGTAGCCACCATCAACATTTGGTATATTTGTGTGTGCGTGTGTGTGTGTGTGTGTGCCTACCCCATCCCCCAGTATTTTAGCTTACCCTCCTATAAATACCCAGTCCTTAAAGAGCAATCATAAGAGAAGCCCAGAAAAGATCGAAAAGCTTAGACATCGTCAAACTACACAGCTATATGGGTTCCAACCACCTTAACCTCACACCAACTGCTGGCCCTTCGTCTTTCTTTTTTAATTGTCCAAAGACCCATGTGCTTGGGGACCAGCAGTTAGCTTAATGGCTGTGTTGCTGGACTCCTGTATAGTAGACCACGGTTTGAGTCCTGGACCCAATGGCTTAAAGCTCACGCCAGGCGCGTGTGCCTGCGTGCCTAAGATCCCAAGAAGAGAATAGAGGAGAAGGGATTGTGGCGTGGCCATCCCCCCTGGGGGGTGATTTCTTGCTTTCTGTTTGTCTCTCTCTGTCTGTCTGGTAAGCTCATGTGCCCTATGGCTAAAACCTCTCCAAAAAAAAAAAAAAAAAAGACCCATGTGCTTACCAGAGAGAAAGGAGAGGGAGAAAGTATCCTGTAGGGATGTGTGGTCACACTACAATCCCTTAGCCTCTGTTACATTATCCTACTAGGATTTGGGGCACACATGCATACATACTGTGTGTTTTTTTAAGACTACAGGAGCCAGGATTTCCAGTCAGCCATATGGGAACCATTCCCTTAACCACTAGGCCACGGGACTGGTGCAATATTTAATCTCTGAGCCTTTTCTCATATGTCAAAGTGGTGATAATAGTAACATTTTCCTCATAAAGTTGCCATGAGGATTAAGTGATATTGCACTTTGCACATAAAAAGAAGCCAGTACATTTTTAAAATCCTTCCAAATTTGTCAAGAGCTTTCTGTTTCTGATAACGTTATTACAAAATTTTCAGATAGAACTGTTTGTATGGAATGGTATTCTAGAGGCTGCTAATGGTTAGAGGCTGAATGTAAAGTTTAGGGTTTTTAATCTCTTTCTAGATAATCACTTCTTGTGTCAATACATGAGTTGAATACTGTGCCTCAAATTCCCCGCAGCCTCTGCTCATGTCTGCTAGTCCTAAGGTTACATGAGCTCTGGTCATGATTGGTTTAGTTTTTCCCTGGGAAAAGGTTAAAGTGTCTAATGATCTCATTTCTGTTGCAGTTTTGCACCTGCAGTAGAACTCAAGGAGAAAGGGAAAAAAGGCAGAGCTGTTCACTTTGCCGAAGCTGATGTTTCAACCTCAGAAAGGTAGCTTTATTTCTCAACCATGCCCGTGTGCTGATAGCACCCTTCAGCGTAAGGGCTTATGCCTTTATGAGCTCCTAAGATAATACCATTTCCTAGGTTGAAATGCAAATACCCACTGAGGAGAGAATGTGCACCATTTGAGAATTCTGGTGGGAGGTGTAATAGTCCCTATAAATATATCCCTGTGATAACTTGGCTGTTGACATGTTTTCAGTGTTTTATAGTTTTTCTTAAAGATCTGAAAATGCTAACTGCGCTAGAGATAGAAGATTTAAGTGATCTATTTTAGATGACATTTGTATTTATGTGTTTTGTTTGTTGTTTGTTTTGTAATTGCCAGGGGGTGCACACACGTGCCAGAGAGAGAGAGGGAGAAGGAGAAAGCACCCTCTGGTAGAACATGGTCAGCTACAGTCCCTTCTCGTCCATTTCTCAATCCTGTCAGGATTTGGGGCACACACACATATTTCCTGCCTGTTTTTCAAGCTGCCAAAGCCAGGATTCAAACTGGAGTTGACCATGTGGGAATCTAGCTCTCTCAACCACTAGGCTATGGGGCCAGCCCTGTATTTATATCAGGCAGTGTGCCCTTCTCCTGTCTCTAGCATAGAAATGATAATGTTTAATAAAATACCTTCTGACATGATCCTATGTTTAACAGAACTCATACATGCTGCTCAGGCTCTCGTTAGTTTATGGGAAATGCTTCATGCACTTCGGTGTAGATCACAACATATAACTGAAACACTTAGTTAAAATTCTGCCTGTCTCTTTCATAAATAGGGGGTGAAGGTGGGGAGACAGCACTCCTAGCAGGGTCTTGATGGCATGATTCACCCCTAGCTATGACCAGCCCTACATACTGGACACTTACTTACCTGCCTTGCATTCTAAGGGAGGTCTTCAAACATGACCCCAGAATCTTCCCACATGGGTCAGCCTTGCAGATGGTACATTTAAAAAGCTTTTAGAGACCAGCAGATGACATAACGGTTATGTTGCTGGACTCCCACATGGCCAACTGCAGTTCAAGTCCTGGACCTGGAGGCTTGAAACTCATGCTGGGTATGTGTGCGTGTGTGTGCCCAAAATCCTGAGAGGAGACTGGAGGAGAAGGGACTGCTGCATGGCCATCCCTCCTGGGAGGAGTGATTTCTCACTTTCTCTCTCTCTCTCTCTCTCCCTCTCTCTGGCGAGCACATGTATCCTATAGCAAAATCTTCTAAAAATGCTTTAAAAACACTACCATAGGCTGACCTTATTGCCTAGTGATTGAGAAAGCCAGATCCTACATGGTCAACTGTGCAGTGTAAGTCCTGCACTTGGAGGCCTGAGAAACACGCTGGTTGCATGTGGGTGCATGCCCCAAGTCCCTGCGAGATGGAGAAATGCAGGAGTAGGGATTGCAGTATTTCTACACTTCATAAGTGTGCTTTCTCCCTCTCCTCTTCTCTCTGTTTTTCTCTCTGGTGAGCACACGTGCCCTCTGGCAAATTAAAAAAATAAAGTAAAGTAACTACAGAGACTGTCCTATTCCAAAACAGGTTGACTGATAAAAGGTTTGCTGCAAGAGAAGATAAGTCACCTAAAGCCTTAGAGAAACGAGGCCAGCAGGGCAGCGTTACACTGGATGATGCTAAGTGTGAGTAACTTTCCTCATCCTTAACTTGCGCTGGCTGATAGTGAACCTCTGAGGCAGTTCCCTCTTTCAGTTTTGTCCCTCTTTTAATGGTCCCTTTTCTCTCCTTTCAGTTGTTGCTTTGCTTTTGCTACAAGACACCGAGATGCAGCGGATCTGTTCTTTTACAACATTTATGAGGTATGTAATGCTTGGGAGGCATTTTAGGTCTTTTGCCTTTTATTTTGCAGTAATTCCATGTGATAAGTGATGATGAATCTGACTTTTAGAGAAAGAGCATGAGGCTGACTTTATGCACACCGTCTTGTCAGGACCCAATCTCAGAGACTGAGACCCAGGGATCTGGGAGAGGAAGCCAGAGTCAGGGGAACCCCAGATAAAGTCCCAGGGCGAGGAGTATGGAGAGTGTGTCGTCAGAGCCCCATGTGGGTGCACTGTGTTTATACGGCAGGGAGAAATATACACATTTACTGAGGTCAGTTTTCTCCACTAGTTGTGTTTGGCAGCCCCAACAAGTGCTGGATGTGTGATGTGTGAGGTTTTTTGGTTTTTTTTTTTTACCTTTCTTTCTTTCTTTCTTTCTTTCTTTCTTTTTCCTTTTTTTTTTTTTAAGAGAGAGTTTTGGTATAGGGCACGTGCTCTCGCCGTAGAGACAAAGAGACAGAAAGCAAGAAATCACCCCTCGGGGGTGGCCACACCACAGTCTCTTCTCCTCCAGTCTCCTCTTGGGATTTTGGGCATGCATGAGCATGCGTCTAGTGTGAGTTTCAAGCTGCTGGGTCTGGGACTCAAACCACGGTCAACTACTTGGGAGTCTAGTGACATAACCATTATGCCATCTGGTGGTCCTAAAAATCATGAGAGAGAGAGAGAGATGGATGGATTGATTCCATGCCACAGTCCTCCAGCCTCTGTTGATTTTCGCCACAGGGCAAGCACCACCATGCCCTCTTGACCTTTCTAAGCCTAGTGTCCTCAGCTACCACAATGAGAAGTAACAGTGTCTGTTGTATATGGCCACGTGTGGCAGTGCTGCACATGGCATCTGTCCTTGTAGGTGCTCAGTGACAGCTGGGTGCCAAGTGCACAGCCCAAGGTCCCTGACTGACTGAGGCTGGGAGATAGGACCATGGCATTAAGACTGCTGGAGGCATCTGTCTCTGTCCCTGTTTCTGTTATCCTCTGCAATGGAAGAATACCAGACTGGCCTTGTGGGATTCAGCTTCCTCTGTGTGTCATCCAACTGCGGTGCTGCAGGGTCAACTCCATACCAATTTCTTAATGCTGGCTCCTGCCTGGGAGTAGATGTTGACAAAGGGGTGGGAGGAAAGAACATTTTCCTTGATACATTTAGGTACATTGTTAAACAGTGGAAATGTATAAGAACAACCTTTTAAAATCTAAAGCTAACTCATATGAACAACTGTAAGAATTTTAAGTGACTGCTTCCCAAATATTATTTGCAAAAAAAAATTCTTATGTCATTAACATAAGAAACTTCTATATAATAGAAATATTTTTTCTAATTGTTTTTAAGATTTTTTTTTTTTTTTTTGCCACAGGGCATGTGTGTTTTCTAGAGAGAAACAGAGACCAAAGGGAAAGTGAGAAATCACCCCTCAGGAGGGATGATCACGTTACAGTTCCTTCTCCATTCTCTTCTCGGGGTTCTGGGCATGCACGACATGTGCCCAGCATTTTTTTCGGGTGGCAGGATCCAGGAGTTGAACCGCAGAGGTGACCATCTGGAATCCAGTACTTTAAACACCATGTCTCAGGACCACCAGTTGGCTTAATGGCTATGTCGCTGGACTCCCATGTAGTCAACCATGGTTCAAGTTCCAGACTCGCTGGCTTAAAAGTCACGTGTCCCCCCTGGGGGGTGATTTCTTGCTTTCTGTCTCTCTCTCTCTCTCTGTCTCTGTCTTTCTGGCGAGTGTACACATCCTATAGCAAAAACCTCTCAAACAAAACAAAACAAAACAAAATAAAAACAAAAAACACCATGTCTCTCACTGGTCCAAGAGATGGAATTGTAAAATGATAAATTAGCTGTGTGATACGCATGATAACATGTATTTCTACTTATTCTCATTTTCTGTGCCCACATATTAAAATTTTTTATTAATTTATTTATTTTACATACTTTCACTGTGTGCCCATATATTTTTAACAAGAAAACATATTTGAAATAGGTTAGTGTTGATTTCTTTCTTTTTTCTCTCCAACTTTCCAATAGGAATAAGAATCTTGACCGTTTCCTCATGGCATTATTGTACTATTTATCTCATTACTTGGAAAAAAACTCACTGGAAAAGAAACCCAAAAGCTATATGGTGTAAGTAAGATTTCTGTAGAGTGCTTTAGAGTTTTATCACTGCTGGTATTAAAACCAGTGTTTGTCTAATGGAAGAAGGTGATGGGGATTTTTAAATCTCTGGGGTATATTAAGAAATTGATGTAGGACGAGATTGATGTAGGAAATTTGTCAGGTTTTTTTTTTTTTTTTTGGAAGGCTTTTCACTAGGGCCCATGCGCTCTCTAGAAAGACAGAGAGAGAGAGAGAGAGACAGAAAGTGAGAAATCACCCCTCAGGGGGATGGCCACACCACAGTCCCTTCTCCTCCATTCTCCTCTCGGGATCTTGGGCATGCACACACATGCACCTGGCGTGAGTTTAAGCCACCGGGTCTGGGACTAGAACTGCAGTGGACTACATGGGAGTCCAGCGACATAGCCATTACGTCATACTGCTGGTCCTAGTTTGTCAGGTTTTAAAGCTTACTGAATAATTCATGTGAGTATTCTGAAGACAAAATAGATTAATATAGACAAGCAGTGCTCAATGAGATATACTGAAAGTCACATATATAATTGCAAATTTTCTAGTAATCATATCTTTAAAATATAAAAAGATATAGGTGCAGTTAATGTTTTTAATGTTTGCTACAGGGTGTGTGCATTTATTGGAGAAAAAGAGAGGAAAAATGAGAAATCACTCCCTAGCGGGGTAGGCTGTGCCACAATCCCTTCTCCTCCGTTCTGCCCTCAGGCAGAATTTGGAGCATTTGTGTGCACATGCCCAGGATGATTTTCAAGCTGTTGGGTCCAGACTTGAACTGCTGTCAGTCATGTGGGATCCAGCCACCTTAACCACCATGCCACTTTGCTGGTCTGAAATTAATTTTAATAGTGTAGTTTATTTAACCCAACGACTCAGAAATATCACTGCAATATGTAGTCAGTATTAGGAAGTCACTAATAAGATATGTTACTTTTTTATAGTAAATCTTTAAAATCTGGTGTCTTGGGGCCAGCAGATGCCATGTTGGTTGAGGGTGCTAGACTCCCCACATGGCCAACCGCCGTTCAAGTCCTGGACCTGGCAGCGTGCTTTCTCACCTTCCTTCCCTTTCTCTCTCTCACTCTGTCCCTCTGGTCAAATTTTAAAAAGCCAAACAAATAAATAAATAAAGTTAAACAAAGTAATTCTTTAAAAAATAATCTGGGGTTGGGAACCAGCAATGGCTATGTCGCTGGACTCCCACGTAGTCAACCGCGGTTTGCATCCCGGACCCGGTGGCTTAAAACTCACCCCGGGCGCGCGTGCATGCATGCCCAAGATCCCGGGAGGAGAATGGAGAAGGGATTGCGGCGTGACCATCCCCCTGGGGGGTGATTTCTCGCTTTCTGTCTCTATGTCTCTCTCTGTCTGGTGAGCGCACGTGCCCTATAGCGAAAACCTCTCCAAAAAAAAAAAATAATCTGGGGTCTTATTGTATACTTGCCACACGGTCAGTTTGGACTTGTCACATTTAAGTACTCAGTAGCCGCATGCGACGAGTGACTACCCTATTGAACAGTACGGATGTAGACATTGTGTGCTTTTTATGCTTGTAAAGTTCTGCTAAAGGGTTTGTAAGCATCTAATAAAAAAAGCTAAGAATTAACAACATTAACAGGTTTGGTGACCAGCAGATGGCGTAATGGTTATGTTGCTGGACTCCCACGTAATTGACCGGGGTTTGAGTTCCAGACTGGCGACTTGAAATGCATGCTGAGTGCATGTGCGTACATGCCCAAAATCCCAAGAGGAGAGTGGAGGAGAAGGGATTGCAGCTGGCTTCCCCCACCCCCTACTCCAGGGATTATTTCTCTCTGTCTCTCTGTCTCTCTGTTGAGTGCACATGCCCTGTAGCAGAAATCTCTCTGAAGAGAAAAAAAACTAACAGATTTGGCCAAAATGATATATTCACATCACGGGAGGGGGGCGTTGGGGGGATGGGGAGGATGTTTTCTTAGGCCATTTAGAAAAGAATGTTAACTGCTCTGGGCATAGGTAGCTCAGAGCTGTACACCCCAGGCAAGAATCTGGAAGTCAGAGACCAGAGCAGAACAATGCCTCTCAGACACGGTGACCTTTCAGGAGCCTGGAACTTTCTAAGTGCCCAGGCTTTCCTCCCCAGCATGTATGGAACCAGCCCAATATTTAGCTGGTACAATGCTGAGTACAATCTTGTTGTGTGGAATGTTTTCAAAATGAAAAACCCTTCTAGACAGTTAAGCAATAAAATAAAAAAACATTTGATGGATAGATAAATGTGTCTAAGTGGCAGTTTTGTAAAGAACCAAATAATTCAAATATCGCTGCTCTTATTAAGCTATCATAGCCAGCTACACCAGGGCTGGATTTCACAGCAGGGCAATCAAAGAAGGAACTGTTTCTATGGTAGCAAGCAAAAGGGCTAAAGCCAGCTGTAGGCTTGCAAGGTTTGAGGATTCTTATTATTCCCGAGTAATTAGACTAAGGCGGCACTTCAGCTTATTCTATTTCGTATGGTATTTTATCTTCTAATTCGGAGGCTTATTGCTAATCTAGCAAAGAAATCTGTTTTACTTATTAATGTATAGGAATAGGCAACAGAACAGGAAGATTTCTGGTTATTTTAAAGATGCATTAAAACTGGGACCAGCAGTTGGCTTAATGCCTATGTCGCTCGACTCCCATGCAGTTGACCACGGTTCGAGTCCTGGACCTGGTGGCTTAAACTCACACTGGGCACGTGTGCGTGCATGCCCAAGATCCCAAGAGAAGAATGGAAGAGACGGGATTGCAGCATGGCCATCCCCCCTGGGGGATGATTTCTCACTTTCTGTCTCTCTGTTTTTCTCTGTCTTTCTGGGCGAGCGCATGTACCCTATTGCAAAAACCTCTCCAAAAAAAAAAAAAAAAAAAGATGCATTAAAACTTAATAGAACACAGTGGTATAAAATAAACTGTTTCTTAGAAGGAATCAATTACAGAGTGACCTAAGCCAAACTAGTGTAAGCTCTAAAACTATAGATTCTGGGAGCCAGCAGTTGGCGTGGTGGTTAAGGTGCTGGATTCCCACATGGCTGACTGTGGTTCAACTCCCAGACCTAGCAACTTGAAAATTATAACAAATAAATAATTTTAAAAAAACTAAGAAAATAAAACTATAGATAATATGACATGGTTCTAAAGGTCATAACTTTTCATTTAAAGCTTTCCAGTTCTATTATAATAAGTTGATATATGTATTATAATAGTATTATAACAATAGTATTAAATATAGATTGTATTGAGGTATTTACCCAGGCAAAGAAAAACTGATTTCAGACTAATTAGTAAGCTGTAACAGAGGGAGAGTAATTCACAATGTTAATGTGCAAAATTCCATAGGGCTGGCAGAGAGATTGCAGGAGCCAGATTTCACGTGGCCAACTGCAGACTGAATCTCGACCCTGGAGGTTTGAAAAACATGCTGGCACCTGCATGGATGCCCCAGGTCCCAACATGATAGAGAAATGGAGAAGGTCTTGCAGTGTGACTACCTCCTACTAGGGGGTGCTTCCCCTACTCTCACCCCTCCCCATGCCCGTGACCACACCCACCCTCTGACAGTTGAAAAAGAGTGAGATAGACGATGTATATTCTCTTAACCCAGTGCTTGATACTTGCAGGAATACCTGCAATTGTGAGACGAGAACAAAAAGGGTTGAACAGGATGTCAAAGATGTTCTTAGATGATTTTAGATGAGTACGAGCTCTAATTCCAGAAGCAGCAGCCTTATTCCCATTTTACAGATGAAGAAATGAAGGCTCAGAGAGGTTAAATAATTAGTTGGAGATGACCTACATACATAGCGCGTGTTGGAGCTGGAATTAGAACCAGGTCTGTCTAACTCCAAAGCCTGTGCCTTAACTGCTGTGCAACAAACCCAGCGCTCCCCACCAGTCAACTGTGCCCTCTTTCCCAGATTTTACCCTTTCATAATTAGCGTTTATAACTCCTGAACAAAGGTACAATTAGCTGTGAGCTTTTAAACATCATACCATAAGCATTTTTCAAGTTATTACCATAAGCAGCATTATAGTTTTTTTTTTTTTTTTTTAATTTGCTGGAGGGCAGGTGTGCTCACTGGAGAGAGAGAAAGAGAGAGAGAGAGAAGGAAAATGAGAAAACACTCCCCATCTCCCAGCCTCCCATAGGGGATGTTCATACTGTAATTTTTTCTCTTTTGTTTCTCCTTTCAGGATTTTAGGCACACATGCACACATGTCTGGACTGTTTTTCAAGTCACTGGGTCTGGGACTTGAACTGTACAGTCAGCCACGTGGGATCCAGCCACCTTGACTACCATACTACCAGCTGGCCCTGTAATTATCATTTTTAATGGTGACATAACTTTTCATTAAGCCAGCGTATGTGAATTGACTCACCTATTAAGAAGCAGTGTAATGTATTGGTTAAGGGTACAGCTTTTGATGCCTGGGTTAAATCCCATGGGAACTCACTAACATGTTAGGTTCATGTCAAAACCTTAAGGAGTTCCTGACTGGATTACTACTCCTTTTATCTCTCTCTCTGTTTTTTTTAAACCTCTGCCATTTTTAGTTTATTAATATTAGCTAGGACTCAGATGTTCAATATTCCTCCTGAAATTGCATAAATGAATGCAAATGGAAAGAATTCTTTAAGAAGGTAGCACCCCCTCATGAAAGTGTGTAAAATGTTAAGAATGCTATTTTCAAATGCTGACACTTGAAGAAAACGATAATCTCAAAAACAACAAAATTGCTGAATTGTTTCCTAAGCTGCTGTGTAGATAAACAAGACCCAATGAATGAGTTTGGGTTTTGTAAAGAAAAATAAAATTCAAGTAAATCGGAGAATTTTTTATTGAGAAGCAAAGTTTGTGTCTTCTTTCCTCATGTATATTTGATTTATAAAGGGGCAAACCATAATATAGTAATGTACACGCTTTTTTTTCTTTCTTTCTTTCTTTCTTTCTTTCTTTCTTTCTTTCCTTTCTTTCTTTCTTTCTTTCTTTCTTTCTTTCTTTCTTTCTTTCTTTCTTTCTTTCTTTCTTTCTTTTTGGTAGTTTTTGCCATAGGGCATATGCGTTTGCTGGAGAGAGGCAGAGAAAGGGCAAGTGAGAAATCACCCCAGAGGGTGGAGGCCATGCTGCAATCCCTTCTGCTCTATTCTCCTCTCAGGATTTTGGGCGTGCAGGCACACATACCCAGCATGAGTTTCAAGCCACAGGGTTAGGGCCTTGAACTATGGTCAGCCATGTGGGAGTCCAGTGCCTTAACCACCATGCCACCTGCTGACCCCTTTATACCCTATTTTAAATCTGGTATCATAATTTTAAAAGCCGGTCCAATAGATTAAAAATACTTTAAAAAGTTTTATTTATTTCTTCTATAAAAGAGATTATTAGATCAAAATTTATTATTATTTCTGTGGCTCATGAAATTATTTTCAAATGTCTTTCTCAAAGGAGTATGCCAATTTTCTGTTACCAGCAATGTATAAATACACAATTTTGTAGCATCATCATGTGCATTTTAAAGACTATGCTTATTAATTCACATAAGTCAGTAACTGGATTAGTGTTTAAGGAGTATCTTTAAGGAATTGTTACAAAACAAAGTGTAAACAGAGAAAGATTTTATGAGGATTAGTTTTCAGACACAGAACTTTAAAGTAGGCAGACCAGTCTGAATTTATTATCTAAGTTTGTTTCTGTTGGCTATTTTTTCCCTAGCTTTTTACTTTTTTTCTACTTCAACACATAAGTCCTTTTTTTTTTAGAATAATTTAATTTTATTTATTCATCCATTTATTTTAATTTGACCAGAGAGAGACACAGAGACAGAGAGAGAAAGTGAGAAAGCAAGCCACCAGGTCTGGGACTTGAGCTGTGGTTGGCCATGTGGGAGTGTCCAGCGTCTTAACCACCATGCCACCTGCTGGTCCCCAACACATAAGTCTTTTCTATACATTTCTAAGAACCAGTGCCTCAGAATCACTTGGGGTGAGTGTTTCAAATTTCCTGGGTTTTGCCCAGACCTTCTGAGTCAGAATCTTGGAGATGAGGTTGTATCAGAAATTTGTACTTTATTTTTTTGAAGAGATTTTTGCTATAGGGTGCATGCGCTCACCGGAAAGACAGAGACAGAAAGCAAGAAATCACCTCCTGGGGGCAATAGCCATGCAGCTATCCCTTTTCTTCCATTCTTTTCTCAGGATCTTGGACATACATGCACATGCACACATATACACATGTGCACATGTACACATGCGCCCGGTGTGAGTTTGAAGCCACTGGATTCCCTACTCAAACCGCGCTTGACTACGTGTGAGTCCAGTGACTTAACCATTATGCCATCTACTGGTCCCCAGAAATTTGTACTTATAGCAAGCACTTCAACTGACTCTGTTTAACTCATACATTTATTAAAACTTGAGGAACCAGGGGCCAGTGTATGGCGTGGTGGTTAAAGGCACTGGATTCCCAGTACTAGCTGACCACAGTTCAAGTCCCAGACTGGTGGCCTGCTTTCTCTCTCTCTCTCTGTCTTTCTCTGATCAAATTAAAAAATAATAACAAATAGAATTAAATAAATAAATTATTATTTTAAAAATACATTAAAAACAAAAAACCTTGGGGGACAAGCAGATGGCATAATGGTTATGTCACTGGACTCCTATGTAGTTGGCCATTTGAGTCCCGGACTCAGCGGTTTAAACCTCGCACAGGGTGCGTGGCAGTCCATGCCTAAAATACCAAGAGAAGAATGGAGGAGAAGGGATTGCTGCATGGCCATCCCCCCTAGGGGGTAGTTTCTCGCTTTCTGTCTCTGCCTCTCTGGCGAGCGCATGTGCCCTATAGCAAAAATCTCTCTGTTAAAATAAAAAACAAAAATAAAACAAAAACAAAAAAAGTTGAGGATTGTGGGTCTAAATGTTTCGAGGCATTTCTTGATTATTGCTGTTTGGTTTGGTTTGGTTTCCTAGAGCAAAAGAAGAATATTAGCTACTGGCAGGTCTGGCAAAGTAGAGTGAAGGGAGGCCGGGGGTGGGGTGGGGGTGGGAGTATGGGCTACAGACAGAAGGCAGAAACAGGGAGGCAGGTTTACCCTGCTTCCCTGTTACCCTGCTTCTCTGTTAAATTGGGTTATATGATATTTGACCACTTTATTTCAAAACTCACAAGCCTTTTCATCATGTGATAATGATTTGTGTTTTTGAAATATCTTTGGAGGGTGGGGGCCTTCAACTAGTTCATGGAAAGTATACATTATGAAAAACCAAAAGTTTGGATTTCAAAAAAATTTTTGCACCAAAATAAACCTTCGTTTCATTTTGCCATGAATTTTTTGAAGTGCTCTTTTGTATTACCCTTCCCCTCACCCTCCTCCCCTCACAACACATCTTCCTGTAGTCAGCAGGGAAGCTTGTCCCGGTTCCCAAGTGCGGTGAGTGCGGTTCATTTGGTGCCTAACGATGTTTCACTTTTCAATAGCAGTATATTGGAATGTATTGTCAGCAATATTGTTTCCTACTGTATATTACTGCAAAACCTTTTAAAATTAGGCTCCAGACATGTTGTAACTTAAGAACAGATTGTCTTACACAAAGTTTATTTGCACTTCGATTGGAACTGGGGCTGTGTTTTCACAAGGAGGCAATGTTAATCTTGTAGATGCCAAAGTTCTCAGAGTAATGGTCCTCCAGGCCTCAGTAGCCAATACAGCTAAACACTGAAGTGGGCGAATGTTGAGCTCCAAGCGTGGTAGTAACTAGGACCCCAGGGGAAGCTGAGGAGGCAGGAATTTCCTTCAGTGTTTCATGAAAACAGCAGGGGAACGGATGCCAGCTGACTGGGCAACCAGTAGGGATAATTGGTTAATTGAACTCTGCTACATAAATTAGTGCGACTTGGGACCAGCAGTTGGCATAATGGCTATGTCGCTGGACTCCCATGTAGTTGACCGCGGTTCGAGTCTCAGACCTGGTGGCTTAAACTCACACTGGGCGCATAAGTGTGTGTGCCCAAGATCCCAAGAGCAGAATGGAGGAGAAGGGATTGTGGCATAGCCATCCCCCACCAGGGGGTGATTTCCCACTTTCTGTCTCTCTCTTGTCTTTCTGGTGAGTGCACATGCCCTATAGCAAAAACCTCTCAAAAAAAAAAAAAAAATAGTGTGACTTGGATTAAAATTGAGAGTACATAACAAAAAGTATAAATAATTTATAAAAACATGAAAATTAACTGTGAACTTGAGATGGCTATTTCAGTGATTAAATATCAAGGGACTTTGAGAATTTCCCTGTGCTATAGTTCAAATAAAATAATTGGTAAATGGGGCCAGCAGGTGGTGATTAAAGGCACTGGACTCCCACATGGCCAACAGCGGTTCAAGTCCTGGACCTGGTGGCCTGCTTTCTCACTTTCCCTCTCTCTCTCTCTCTGTCTGTCTGTCTCTGATCAAACTGGAAAATAATAATAATAAATAACGTTAAATAAAAAATCATTCTTTAAAAATTGCTCAATGCAGTCTGTTGACTCAAGCTGTATTTCTTTCAAAATAGTTAATAATTCTGACTTTTTACTAATTAATATAAGCATTTGCCAAAATTAATCTAAATTGTCTTTTGCCACCCAGGGGCCTCGTAGAGAAAAAAGAGATGGAATTGGTTTTAAGCAAGTTAGAGGCAGCACAGAAGTACTTGGCGCAGAAGTACTGTATCCTCGTGCTGGGCCTGGGCATGCCGGACAAACATCACATGTGCTGTGGGAAGTAAGTGTGTGTTGGGGCCAGCAGGTGGCATGGTGGTTAGGGCGCTGAGCCCTAACCACCCACATGAGCATGGTTCAAGTCCCAGACCTGGTGGCCTGCTTTCTCACTTTCTCTCTCTCTCTCTCTCTGTTTCTCTCTGGTCAAATTAAAAAAGAAAATAAGAGAATGAATGAATACAGTTAAATAATTATTTTAAGAAAAAGAAAGTAAGTGCGTGCTTCACTGCTGGTTGTCACTCATGTGTATAGCTGCATCCTTAGACCCTTCCACTCTCGATACCCTTGAGATAGTGTTTCTTTATTATTGTCCAGAATAATTGGGCTCAAGGGAGAATCTGTCCCAAACATGTGTAACATCTCCTCTGACAGAGCCCAGTGAGTATGGAAGGAATCCCAGAATCTCAGCTGATATTTTAAAAACTCTCCAGTGCTGGGGGACCAGCAGTTAGTGTAATGGCTATGTCGCTGGATTCCCACGTAGTCGACCGCAGTCGAGTCCCAGACCTGGTGGCTTGACACTCACACTGGGCACATGTGCGTGCGTGCCCAAGATCCCGAGAGGAGAATGGAGGAGAAGGGATTGCAGCGTGGCCATCCCCCCTGGGGAGTGATTTCTCGCTTTCTGTCTCTATGTCTCTCTCTGTCAGGCGAGCGCATGCGCCCTATAGCAAAAACCTCTCCAACAAACAAACAAACAAACAAACTCTCCAGTGCTTGCGATTAAGTGTGACTTGCTCTCTCGGTGGAATCTTGTTGTCGACCCTGCTGACAGCCACGGGCCAGTGTTGCAAGGAACTGATGTCTCTCTCGCTTTCACTGCTCACTTTGCAGCCGTAACAGTGATGAGCATAACCCTCAAGTCAGGGTTATAAAATGACTCATCTTAGCTTGACGATTTCTACACTGGTGTAATTAAAATTTAACAGGGAGGCGTATCACAAGAAAGTCTGGAGTCACAAGACGGAGAACTTCAATCCTTAACCCCAAATCTCTTCTGAACAGTTTCACAATTGGCCCAAGGTCCACACCCTGGTCACAGCCAGAAGTTCTTTGTTAACCTGATAGAAAAAAAAAAAAAACCAGTACATGGTATATCCTGTCTATATTCTAAACATTTTCAAAACTCAGCATTGTCAAAGAGCATCCTTAACACAATCATTTGTTCATTTTTTGAGTTCTACATTTCTGGTAGGTTATTCTACAGATTAATCTACTTTTCTGTCTTCGATTATTCTGCTTACTGCTTTGAGTAGTAGCTGTACTTATTACTGTGTAATATACCCATTTGATTAGCCCTTCTTCTGTGTACACTCCTGTGTTTCAGTTTTTCTGTTTTATATTTATAATTTTCTATTTTATAATATTTATAATATTATATATTAAGTATATTTTATATGTTATATATTATATATTAAGTATATTTGTAAAAATTACTTTGTTCATTTGGATTAATTCCTTATGGCTTATTACCCGAAAAGTAGTTACATAGAAGGCAAAAAGAGTTCTTTAGCTTTTTTTTTTTTTAAATTTTTGCCAGAGGGTGTTTGTGCTTGCTGGAGGAGACAGAGAGAGAAAGTAAGAAGTCACCCCCCTCAGGGAGGATGGCCATGTTGCAGTCCTTTGTCCCTCATTCTCCTCTCAGGATTTTGAGTGTGCACACACACACGTGCCTGGCATGTCTTCTGAGCTGCTGGGATTCAAACTGCAGACTTGGCCATGTGAGAGCCAGCTGCCTTAACCACCATGCCACCTGTCGGCTCCTCTGTAGCTCTTAATACATGATGCTAGATTGTTCTCCAAAAAGGTTAAAATCTTTCGTTTTACCATTGCCAGTGAGCATACCTGGTTGTATTGGACTTTGTTACTTTAATATTTTTATGGTTTAAATGTGTACCAAAAGTTTGGAAATATTTTATTTGACTTTAAATATCTTTCATAACTGTGGCATCTGTACCCTTTGTCTGTGTAAAATAACACACTACCTATTCGTGTAGTTGTAACCATTTATCAAATGGAAACCAAGAGTTTGTATCATTTCTTTATAAATAGTTTATAGCGAGGATCAGCCATTTGTTCCTCTAGATTATTGCTCTTTTGTGTTTACGGACATTAGGAAATGTTTGAACATGCCCACTTTATTTCTTACGCTGTTCAAGTATACAAGTTCTTGCCATTCTTGACTCTAACTATTTACCTTTATTAGCTTTGCTTTGCTTTGCTTTGCTTTGCTTGCTTGCTTGCTTGCTTTCTTTCTCTTTTAAAAGTTGCCAGAGAAGGCCAGCAGGTGGCGTAGTGGTTAAGGTGCTGGCCTCCCACATGGCCGACTGTGATTCGAGTCCTGAACCTGGCAGCTTGCTTTCTCACTTTATCATTGTCTCTCTCTCTCTCTGTCTCTCACATGAGTATGTGTATCCTACAGCAAATTAAATAATAATATTAGGTTGTTGGGAATGTCATGATGCATTTTTGCATAGAAAAACGTGGAAAATATTTCATAACTTTATAGATGAGTTAATAATAAAATTAAAGAAATAATTCTTTTTAAAAAGTTACTAGAGGGCCAGCCGATGGCGTGGTAATTAAGAGCACTGGACTCCCACGTGGCTAACTGTGGTTTGAGTCCCAGTCCTGGTAGTTTGCTTTCTCACTTTCTCTCTCTTTCTCTGGTCAAATAAAAACAAAAATAAATAAATAAATGAAGTTAAATAAAATAATAATTTTTTTTTTTTGGAGAGGTTTTTGCTATAGGGCGTGTGCGCTCGCCAGACAGACAGAGACAGAGAGATAGAAAGCAGGAAATCACCCCCCAGGGGGGATGGCCATGCCGCAATCCCTTCTCCTCCATTCTCCTCTCGGGATCTTGGGCACGCACGAACACGCGCCCGGCGTGAGTTTAAGCCACCGGGTCCGGGACTCGAACCGCGGTCGACTACGTGGGAGTCCAGCGACATAGCCATTACGCCAACTGCTGGTCCCAATAAAATAATTATTTTTTTAAAAAGTTATAGAGGGCATGTGTACTCGTCAGAGAGAGACAGAGAAACAGAGAGAGGGAGAGGCCGAAAGCACCTTCCAAAAGGGGTGTGGTCATGGTGCAATTGATCCTCCTCCATATCTCCATCCTATTGGAATTTGGGGCATGCACATGTGCCCGATGTGTCTTCAAGCCATGGGGCTGGGATCTAGCTTCTTAACCACCAAGCCGTGGGGATTTCTGAATTTTTAAAAGTAGGATTTTACAGCTTCTGTGGTGCAGTGGTAGTACAGTGCTCTGCACAACTGGAGGCCACATGGAAGATCACAGGTTGGTTCCTGGGTCAACCTGTATGTGAAGGGTACACACACTCATGATCCTGACTGGCTGAAAGACTGTTAAGGGTGCTTGCCCCTCTCTCTCATAAAAGAAAGAAACTTAAAATAGAGTTTTAAAAAATACTAGTCTTGGACCAGTGGGTGATGTTGTGGTTAAGGCAGGTGGAATCCTGTGTTTTGAGTCCGAGACCTGACAGCTTGAAAAAGTGCACTGGGTCCAAACTCCCAGAGGAAAATGGAGGAGAGGGCGTTGAGGCATGGCCTTCCTTGCTGGAGGGTGATTTCTCACTTCTCGTTCACTGTCTCTCTCCGGCAAGCACACTCACTCTATAGCAAAAACCTTTAAAAAAGACAAAAAACCCTAGTCCTTCATCCATTTGAAATTTGTTAACATATCAGATGAGTTATGACTCTAGGGTATTTTTTCTTCACTAATGTCCAGCTTTGCAGGCTGACTCCCTGGCGCAGTGGTCACGTGCTGCTTAAATGAAGCCAGAGCCTACATGGCTATGCAGTTTGGGTACCTAGCCTGGGCCGCCTGAAACACACAGGCACACACATGAATTCCCAAGACCCTACAGGCTGGAGGACGGGGGCAAGGGGATTGTGACATGATCAGACCCTTTGGAGGGTGCCCTCTGTCTCAGTCTTGCTCTTTCACTCTCATATGTGTGCACACACTTGCTATCATATATTAAAAAGAAGTATTATCTGGCTCTGTGGTGGCATGGTGGTTACGGTGGGTGGATCCCTCATGGCTCACTGCATAGTTTGAGTCCTGGACCCACTGGCTTGAAAAACATGCCAGGCAGGTGTGCATGTGTGCCCAGAATCCAGAAGGGAGAGCGAGGTAGAGAAGGGATTATGGCGTGAGAAGCACACCCATGGGGGTGGGGGCTGCTTTCTCACTTTCTGTCCTTCTACAGAGAGCTCACACGCCCTCTAGCAAAGTAAAAACATAAAGTTTTAAAAAAAGTAAAAATACAATCCAACTTTTTGGTAATATTTATTAGCAGTTTTTCTAATTCTAACCCAATGTGAGGAATTTCTCTGTTGTAAACACAGAACTGTAGTTTCTGTTCTGCTTTGGTTTATTCAACACGTTGAGCGCCTGCTCTGTGGCAGTCATGGTGCCAGGCGCTAGTGTACCAGGAAACACAGTCTGCAAGTGAAAGTTCTAGTGGAAGATCCAGGAAGTAAGAAAGCAAAGATTGCTGACCTGTGTGATAGCGGTGTAGATAGAGGTCAGGCACCCGTAGCAGGAGGAGTGGCAAGGCCTCAGGAACTCTTGGCAGAGGAGCACGGGCGGGGAGTCAGGAGAACTGAACATCCATAATGAGAGTTTTCTCTTGCAACCTTCAGAAACTTTGTACTGGCAGTATTGTCTTTTTGACATAAATTTCTAGTTTGTCCTAAAAATAAATTCCTTAAAGTAGAATTCCTGGGTCAAAAAATATACACATTTAAATATGATATATCTGGGACCAGCAGTTGGCATAATGGCTATGTCGCTGGACTCCCATGTAGTCGACCACGGTTCGAGTCCTGGACTCAGTGGCTTAAACTCACATCAGGCGTGTGTGTGTACGTGCCCATGATCCCAAGAGGAAAATGGAAAAGGGACTGTAGCATGGCCAGTCCCCCCGGGGGTGATTTCTCTCTTTCTGTCTCTCTGTCTCTCTCTCTGGT